AACAACGGGAATCACGTTTCGGTGCCAAAAGTGCAGACCACCCCAGCGACGCCCAACAACGTCAACAAGAGCAAGTTCTCTTGGCAACAGTCACAGGCCCCAACTGCCAACGCCGCACCATCTCCTGAACCGGAGAAAAAGTCAAAGAAAATCATATTGAAGCAACGAAAGGACTCAGTGACGCCCGCCGAAGAGCCTCGACGATCGACCCGTGACCTGGTGGAGGCTCTCGAGGCGGTGTCTGCCTCGAACAGTCAGTCACCCTCACCTTACTCGTCGCCCGCCCAGCCTCGCCGTCAGCTGCAGTACGGACGTCGGGCACAGACGTCTCAGATTGGCGACAGCAAGCCTCAGCAGCAGCCAGTGCCAAAAGCGAAGCCCACCTGGGGCCTGCGAGAGACGGTGGACAGTCTGGCGGACAGCTCGGGCAGTCCTCAGACGACCCCTCGCTGTCGGTCGCCGCTGACCAACTCCATCAGCTCCACCCCACGTCAATCGCACAGTCCCTCTCCGAGTCGCAACAGCGCCGACTCTGACGCCAGCTGCGCCTCTACTTCTCGCCCCAAGGTTTTCGGCCGTGTACCTCCGCGAAAGGTCTCGCTGAGTGGAAACGCCGCCAACAGTAACAGCACTTCCAGCAATCATTCGAATGAGGTAAGTGACACTTTCTTCCCTTTACTGCCACTCGTTGGTTCTCGTCAATTAGCTCGTTATGCGTTTTCTATGTTTCTCATTTCTCATTGTAATATTCCACCACAACACAAAAATTCTCTCTCACTCTATCTTTCTCTTTGTCTCAATGTTTTGCCGCACAACAAATTTTATGTCACTCGCACAGCATTCTTTCTCTCTTTTTCTCTTCTATGAATCAGTCACACTGCCCACCTGCACTGCACCAAAATGTATCACCTGCTGGAATGGCTAGTCATTGTGCTTCCTCTCTCCGCTGTGCTTTAACGCTCTGCTCTAAAAACTATTAACCGACGCTTAGAGCGCAGTCACCATGTATACTCTGCCCATCTTTCTTCACTTTATTCCCCTTTACTTTTCCTTCAATCGCTTCTTACTAGTAGCTCAATTCTCCATTCTAACCCAGCAAACAACATATTTTGAATGCTCGTAATTCTGAAACCTATCTATCTATACATATATGATCCTGCTGGCCAGCTTCTTGGNTTTCCTTCAATCGCTTCTTACTAGTAGCTCAATTCTCCATTCTAACCCAGTAAACAACATATTTTGAATGCTCGTAATTCTGAAACCTATCTATCTATACATATATGATCCTGCTGGCCAGCTTCTTGGTGCACTCGGAGGTCATCTAAAATACCCGTCGCAGCATCAACCACCTCGATCAGTGCTTCAGGACTTTAGCAGGACGATCACCTCTATTCGTAATGACTTTCAGAACTGTAGTGACATACAGGGAACAGATCACTTTGTACGCTCCTGTCCTACTTCACCACCCACCGCCCATCAGTTTATGCCTCAAAATTGGCAAAACTCACCACAGCAGCCACAACAGCAGCAGCGACGATCAGCATCTCCTCAACCTCAGCCTCGACCTCAGTCTCAGCAATCGCAACCATATTCACCCGCCGCATCACAAACCACCCCTCGACGTCAGCCCTTTCCGCTGCGCAAACCTGAAGTGATCGTCAAGGAGTACCCTGGTTGTGCCTCTACAGGCAACTATCGACTCAACAGCAGTAATCAGGAGCTGAGTAGCAGCAGCGCTGCTGTTGCAGCTGCCAGCTCGCCACATTTACTTCGACCATCTAAGTTCTGGCCTCAACCACAGCAGCACTCTCCCCAACTGCAGCAGTCACCTGTCCACCCGAAGCTGTACAGTCAACAGCAGCAGATGCACCGACAAACATCGCAGCCGTGTTTGGCCACTCAGCAGACGAATCATGTGTTCAAGCAACAAAACACTTCTCTCGGTGCCGATGGGGCCTTGTCACCTTCACCATCACAGCTGCAATCGAAACAGTATTCTTATAATCAAAGTGCTGAGGACCTTCAGTCGCTTCTGTCGAGTTTTGAAAAGCAGCCCACCTACATGTGGACAAACAGCCTGAATAGAGGTCAGTCTAAATCATCCGCTGGAACGTCCCCTGTGAACACAATCGGCTATAACCGTTCGAACTCTGCTTTCAGTCGACCTCAGTCACAGAGCAGTCGTTCAGCAGTCAACTACCTTCAACAGCCTTTTGAGCCAGCTTTTGGACGTCAGGCGATCACTCCTCCGCCGTGTTACACTTATGATTACCACCGTAGCTCTCCGCCGCCTCCACTAGTAAATTCGACCTCTATCTTTGGCCGTCCTCAGTCAGCGCTGAATGGAAGTGTTTCTATTGGTGGCGGTGGTTACTTCAACCGTTCTCCTAACGGAAGTACAGATACAATGGAGCAGTACCACTCTGCAAGTTCTACGCTGTACTCATCAAAGCCTAATCTGATCATCGTCAGCCGAAGTCCTCTAGGAAGCAACAGTTCAGTGCACCAACAGCAGACGACCAATTCAAATGCATCTTTAGGGCAGTCGTCTAACACTCAGCAACATGTACCTCAGCAAGGGGCCAAACCATTTTACTACACTGTCCGGCCTTAGTGCCAATTTATTTTGCGACTTTTGCTAATCACACTAGAACTTTATACTTTTTTTTCTTATGTATTACTCTAACAAAATCTACTAACACTTATCATATCCCGTGTAACACAATTAATCAGTAACATTAGCAAGTAGCATTGTTTTACCCATGTTTCATCATATGAATCATTTTCTTTTTCCACTAACCCCCCTCATGTGGCCACTTTCTGTGGCGTTGTGCACCACTTGAAATCAAATGTCTCTCTCTATATTACTTTTGTTATTTTTCTGTACAGTTTCCTGTGGTTCCTTCTGCACCTTCCGTTTCGTCTGCAAAATCAGCGGCACCTACTCCACTTTCTAGTTCTGTGACTGCATCTTCAAATACTTCTTCCGCTACAAAAACCAGAGAACCTCGTAAATCAAAACTAGCCGTCTACGAGTCGTGCCAACCTGCAAGCTCTAAAGAAGTGGAAAAAGTCTCTCAGCCAGCCAGCCAGCCAGCAAGTGCTAAGCCTAGTAGCCAGCTAGCTAGTGCAAAACCCAGTAATCAGCCAGATAGTGCAAAAGCTAGTAGCCAGCCAACTAGTGCAAAGCCTAGTAACCAGCCGGTCATCCCTGAACCTTCAGTCTCATCAACTGCGTCAGACGAGCCTACTGATGGCCTTCGAACAGGGTTTAAGAAAGTTCCACTAGGCGAAACAAAACAAAAATCCACTAACCGATCGGTCGAGGCACGGCGAAACCGATCTGGTTTGAATCGCTCCTCAACTGCAGAAATCCTCAAACTCATCAAAACTAAATCGCGTGCTGATTTTGGCAGAAGTATGGAGACGGTTGATGAAGACATTGAAATTGATTATCTTCTAAATGAGTTGGAAAAAGAAGGCTTAGATGCTATTGACTGGGACTTGATTGGAGTCAACGAGGATGAGGTAAGTTTGTGCAGTTTGTATTTTTAGGTTAATTCATTAATTAACACATTTTATTTTAGGTAAAAAATATTGTCGAGACAAACCGAGTAACAGATGGCGATGATAACGGTATTGAGGACGGAGAAAGTTCTGAGGAGTCATCTGAATCATCCGAAGAGGAGAGCAGCTCAGAGGAGTCTTCGGACGAGGAAGAGGAAATGCAACATACGGTCTTTGCCAGTCCTGCTACCACCTCAAGCACTCAAGCCGCCAGTAGCAGCAGCAATGGTCAGCCAGCGGCGCCAGTAAAGCACACGTCGGCCGCAGTCATCAAGCTAGCCCCGCCGAAGCCTCAGCCTCAGCCAAAGCTAGAGGTAGAGGAAGAGGAGGAAGAGTCTAGCGAAGAGGAAGAAAGTGAAGAAGAGACTGAGGAAGAGACCGACTCCGACTAAAGTGCTTGTCACATTTTGCCAAATATTACCGCCAACTCAACATTGCTACCATTCTCATTTGATTATAATTTTGGTAATTCATCTTTTGCTTATTTTGCTTTTAAGTTTACTCTGGTAGCTGCATACTGTTCTCATGTAGGTGTACAGTTACAATGAGTGTCATTATTAATTTTTCAATCACTTTTGTTGCACTTTCTTTATTTTCAAACGCCTCAACTGCTTTTGATACAAAATTTTCGCTTTCGTTTTAAACCTTTATTACAACTCACTTCAGTTCAAAGTGTCAGTTCTTAATCGTACTCTTTTATCACTAAAAAATTGTAATGTGTTTCAAAACGGCTACTTTATTTTAAGTTTTTAACTGATGCTCTTCAGCACTGTCATCTAAAATTTTTGCTGCATTATATTTGACTGATCACATTTTTAAAATGTTTTATCTCTGTAATAACACTACTCTTACTTTATTCTTTCCTTTTTCTTTAAAATAAATACTTTCATATGCATCACTAAACATGATTCTGCTGCTTTTGTGAAAATATTTGCATTACTTTACGACTGTCATTTATAACAATTCATTTATGTGAATACACAGAAATGCAATATAGAAACAGATTGGAACAGAGTCCTTTGCATTAGAAGTGAGTTAAACTGAAAAGTTAGATTATTGAGAGCTATATAGGAGCTCTTCAAGTTATTATTGCGCTGGCGCCCGAATTGATCCTCCACTGACCTTGCACTCACTTGTGCCCAGATAAACAAACTCCAATGCACGCGTCGCACTTATTTCTGCACCCTTATTCACTTTTGAAGAATGTATCAGAATGGATCTGTTTCAACAGATACTGACAATGGTCAAGATCACCACAGAAAAGCCACTGCTACTAGGAGCTATCCTGACATCGGGCTGGCTGGTTGGCACCCTAGTGTCTTCGGTAGCTAGCAACGATTTCACCGGATTGTTGGCTCTTTCACAGGCAGCTCTCATTTTGTTAGAGTCAAATCTGGTTGGCGCTCTCTGGTTTATTGGAAAGATCACTGGTAAGTTAACGTTTTCATATTTACAATTTTACAATGTTGGTTTCATTTCAGTCATTTACTTGGCAATCAAAATGATTATATTGCTTTTTAAACTTTGCCGCACTGATTGCGCCAGAAAGGCAATGATTTATGAGTACTTCAAAAAAATGACACCGTTTTTTGAGCAGATGTTTGTCTTTTTCTTCACACTTTTCATTGATTCTGATCGATTAGGTCAACGAATTGAAGAAATTATTGAAAAGAAAGCGTGCAAGCAGTTTTCAAAACAAAATGAATCGATAAAATGTAACAAAACAAAGCAGCTAACACTTAAGCTACTTAAATGCATCAAACACATAATACAACAAAAGATGAAACTTCAATCAAAAGATATTGAAAACACCGCGCTCTTTCCTAACTGCAATCTATCTAAGCAAAACAATTTGACATCTCAAATGCCACTGACAAACTCAAAACAAAAGAAAACAAAAAGGCATAAGAAGAGGCCAATTTTCAAAGTGATTTTGAGTAATGCTTCTAATGCAACTGGACATGATAGAGAAAAGCGACTTTACGTGCGAGCAATAATATCTTCAAGTTCTACTTGCTCACTGATAACCGAGAATGCTGCAAAAAAGCTCCAACTAGTACCTAAATCTCTTTGGCCTGTGCTGGTGCGTGAATCAGCCAGTCAGCCCATTCGAGTTTGCTGGCAAACTGTTCAGGTGCGCATGGAAGCAATCAAACCTCATGAGCACATCTGTCACACAATGGAAATGATGCTCGTGCAAAAAATTGCCTCCTGTTCAGCAAAGGTAGATCTTTTAATTGGACAAGACATTTTCAATTGGACAGTCAACATTTTACCCGTGCAAAAGACGCATTTTCTACCTAACGGAGGGGCAGAAATAGATACTAAGTTTGGTGTTGTGAACATTGGAAGTGAAAGATTTGATGAAGAAGACAAACTACGAAAGAATGCAGTCGAGGATGCCCAAATGAGTCAAGAGAGAGTTCTCAGTAAACCAGTTACAACCACTTACAACACAATCACACTACCATGGCGAGAACTTAAAGAAGATGAAGAAAATCGGGGGTGCGTTCGAGATATGACGCTGCTTTTCGGTAAGTTGACTTGCTTGTGTCAAACTTTGCCTATAAAGTCACATTTTTTATTTCACAGCATTTCCGCTGATTTTGGGGTTGTTTTCCTACTTTGATTTGCTGCTACTTCTGACTCTGCTCATCACTAGTTTCATTCTGCCCATTTGGTGCATCTTTGATCGGACAATCTTCTCATCGCCCGAAAATCAGCTCCGAAAGCTGCTGCACTCGGCAACTGAAAACCTGTTCATCTTCATTTACGCCCTTAAGCTGCTGTGGACGTGGATGTGGAAGCAAAGCTTCGATCCGAAAGACCCTGTTCTGTACAAGCCCACGCTCACTGTTCGAGTGCGCAGTCTGGACACTGAGTGCCTCTGTCGAGTGCTCTTCGACACCACTCGCGCCCAGTCGTACATTGCCCGGTCAGCAGTGCAGCATCTGGGCAAGATGGCACCGGGCAAGGCGCCTGGACGAGTGCAGGTGCAAATGGAGGCACTGCATGACAGCGCCGTGTGCAGCACTGTCGAGCTGGTGCCCTCCAAGCGGCTGCTCTTCGCCGACTACCTGCCCACGCCGCCTCGCGAGCTGCGAGAGGTGATGTCGGTCCAGTACGGCGTCCGCCTCACCGATGACACACCCGAGGCGCAGACATTCGGCACTGCTGACATCATTGTGGGCACTGAGCTGCTGGCGGACTGCTTCTGCACGCCCGGCAGATCAGCCTGCATCTACCTGGCGCCCAATCTGGTGCTGACGCCAACTCGGTACGGACACACACTGGCGGGCAGTCACTACCCGCTTCTGCAGAAGAGTCTGCACACCATCTTCACGTCGCACAGTCGTGTCCTCCGTTACCTGTCCCAGCACCTGATACCCTTTGTGGGCAGCTGCATGGTGCGCTCTATTGTCATTTCAGTTCTCTGGGACAGCTACTGGTACCTGGGCCTGGTCAGCGACATCAGCACCTACTTTCAGTACCAATACAAGATAGAGTATTTCAGCAACTGCGACAACTTCCGCGCAAAAACCGACTCCATCTACCTGCTGAACGCCACCAGTTATCTGCCAAAGATGGCCTCGTGTTGGCTGTACCAAAACACTTTTTAGCTAGCAATCCATTCCGCGTCTTCCAAGCATTGCCTAAACACTTTCCTCATGTGCCACCATTTTAAACATATCATAATTTGTAGAGTCATCTCAACATTCCGCTGTTATAAATGCGTTAACTGTTTCCAGATAAATTAAAAACTCGTTGGCAATAACTTAAAACATGCGTAGAAAAATAAACAAACACAATAAAACAATAACGATGATAATTACTTTTGTTGGCGTTTACGGGACGGTTCAATTCCTAGAAAAAGGGCAATATCTTCAGTAATTGGCTCACACAAGCGAGTCAGAACGGGCAGAAGCTGATTCGTAATATAGTAGTCAATATCCACTTTGATCTCTCCACTGTTTATCTTCTGACGTGCATTCTCAATGTGATAAGCCCGCTGAGTAACAGAGCTACGTGTGCCATCGTTGCAAATAATGTACGGTATAGTATCGCCACTACCAAGTCGTTTGCCTGTTAAATGATAAACTCATCAGAGCACTACACACAAAGAAGGTGTTTGCTTACCAAAGGTACTTTTGTTGTATCGAGCTGCAGCGACAGAGTGAGGCAAGGCTCTCAAGTATTCATCGGGGTCTTTGCTTAAGGCTTTCTTGGTGACAAAATCACTCAAAGAAAACTCATTTGCTCGCAAAGCCTTCACCAACATTTTCAAGCCGTCTTTAATTTCTTTAACCATCCCTTCAATTGACAAAGGGTCTTCGCCTTCATCTTCCGGCACAGGAAGAATTTGGTCTAAAACCGCACTGGCAGTGTTCCGCACCATTAAACTCCAGTCATGGCGAATAATTTCCAGTCCTTTGACTTCTCTGCTGTACTGCAACTTTCCATCAGAATCTTTGCTCACTGAAAGACCGGCATACTTTTTCTTCTTCAAAAGTAACATTCGTCTAAACACCGAATCGATTCCAATTTCAAGAAGATCATATTTGCGATTAATTTCAGTTTGAATTTTATCACCGACTTCATAGACCTCATCTAAAGTGCAGCATTGTGTTTTAACCATGAGCGAATCTGTATCCCCGTAAATGACTTCATAGCCAAGGTTTTCAACTAAGCTTTTGCTGTCAAGTAGAATGTCTCTGCCTTTACCAGTGACCAAAGCAGCCAGATGTTGAGCGTAAAACCGCGAGAAAGCAAAACCCAGACAGCCGTAAATGCTGTTTGCAATTACTTTCAGTGCTTTCTGCTTAATTTCCAACTGCACTTTCTCGTTTTGTGACAAACTGTTATTTGCCAGTTGAATTTTAGCTTCTTTACGCAAATCCACGAGTTTTTTTATTTCACAGGGCAAAATTCCTTTTGATTTTGAAGGTTTCAAATCGGTGCTGATTAGGCATTTTTTCGGGTCAATCGTAGTGAAACAAATGTCATATTCCTGAATGATTGATGGGTAGAGGGAATTGAAATCCATAACCAGAATGAAATTATCATACAACCCGGTCGTTGGCTCAAGTACTAAACCACCAGAATAAGAAAAGTTGTTTTGATAAAACTGAGATTTGTTTTCATCTTCGTCTTGTTCATTGTTGTTTGCTAGATCTTGCAAGTTGGCTGCTCGAAGGGCTTTATCGGGAACAATATAACCTGAAAAGTTATATCACGGTTATTAACTCCTGTAGTCAGTGAGTTTTAAAAACATATTTTTAAAAATACTACAAAATTACCATTAGAGTTAAAAGCATGAAGTAGGAGAAACTCATTCCGAGACGATTGTCCTCCAAGAAGCGTTTTTGAGAGAAGGTTTCCAACAATACTGGTTATTTGCTTGGCCAATGGCAAGCAATTGAGTTTGAACATTATACTAGAAGTGTGTTCATTATCAGTAGTCATGATGTCAATTAAGCGAAACAGTTTTGAAGATGTGGAATAGTATTGAGGTAATTTACTGGAGCTTACGTCCACGCGTTTTTTACCCAATATTTTTGAAGATAGCTCTTTCAGATCATATGATTCAGCTCGAATTAACTCTTTTGAGTTAGTTTTGACGTCACAGAGAAGGCGGCCAATGAAGTGATAATGCGGTGTAAGATTTTCGGACTGCTGCTCTTGCATGTTGAGCCTTCCCATTCGAGACCATGAAGCGCGAGAAATACCGTGATGGGAAATTCTGGTAAACAAATATTTGTAGTCGAAAATCAAATCATGACCAGCAATAATATCAGCGTCCACTTGATGGAATTTGTCCAGAAAAGCTTCAAGTAACATTTTTTCATTAGTCGTTTGAATAATTTCCGTTTTTGATCCAACAGGCGATTCAGCTTTAAAATCATTTGGAAATGAAAACTCATTTGTAGACGGACAAGTGAGAAAGCAGAAATGATGAGAATTCTCAGACAGAGGTAAATTGGATTCAAAAAGGTAGTCTTTATTAACAATTCCTGAGATGGCAATAATTTCGTTATCGATTGCTTCAGAAGCACCATATTGCTTCATATTTAGAGTCAAAACTGTGAATTTAGGAGACGGTAGATTATCAGGAAAAACGGTACTAATTTGTGATGGCTCATTGACTGAAAACTGATGTTGACACCATGTGTCGTTGAGTGACTCGGGTGACGAAAGCACATTTTTAACAGTAAGCCATTGAGGTCCTTTGAGGTTGCGATCAAGAATAAAATTTTCCAGGATTGAAGCATTAGCGCCAAACACGTGCTGATAGGTGTTTCCTGAACAAAATTGCTGCTCTAATTGAGGCAAAGTTCCCGAGTATAGCACTTCTAGATACTCTGCAGAAGGAGGAATATTTGAAAGCTCAAAAGCATATCTTTTGCTTATTTTACGCGCAAGAAATTTGCAAATGTTCAACTTTTCCGTAACAGTGTGCGCAAATTCATTGAAAACATCTTCAATATTAACTTTCCTATTTGTCTCAAGACAAGTTTCCCTTGGCAAAAGAAATATTCGCCGGTTGATGTTTTGAACTAGAAATAACATTGTTAATTTTTTTAGATATTAAAATAAATAACCTTACCTTTTAACGAAGCACAAGCAAACTGCTTGGTTTTTGAATTAAAAATTTTTCCAAACAAATACACAGTATCTTGATTTGTCCCCGCATCAAACCAATAAAAGTTTATATCTTCGCCAACTTGTAGTTTTACATTTTGTGCAAGCTGCAAGTCAAATGGAACCCATTCTCCATTGTTAAGTTTAGCAATGTCTTCATGCGATAACGAAACAGCTTTTTTGTTTTCAATGTTTGCCTCAGATGAAGCTGCAGTTTCAAGTGCCGAAGTTTCATCAATGCTTGCTTTTTTGGCAACTGCTGCATCCACTAGTGCACACAACTCATCGTCATCTAAAATGACATCTTCAGATCGAAAACGCTTCTTACTGGGGCTGACATCCATTTCGGATCAATATCCCATAGATATGATGCTTGAAGATGCTTGAAAGCTTCAAAATTGAAATGACGCAAGCGTTTAAATCTCAAGTGTAAACAATAACATGTGACTTGAATTCGTAAACGACGTGACATGAATTCAAAAACCTTTTTTATTGAAAAAACAAAACGTATACAAACTGAATTGAAACCATTTTCTTTGACTGGAATGGCAGAGGACTTCAAAAAGGTAATAAAAGTTATTGTGAAACTAACAAAAGTTTGTGTTTTACAGGTGCTATTTTAAATAATGTTTATTTTCATGGATCAAAGGTACGTTTTAATTAAAAACATTGTTACAAAAATAAGCAGTTTTTAAAATTACAAACAACTTTTGCAATAATTCAGAGTTGAAATGTTTAGTAAAACACAAAAACTTTTAACAAATCGGATCTATTTTTTGCTATTATAAACTTTTTCAGCTGCTTTTAGTAGTTCATTTTTCACTTCTTGGGTGTGATTATCAAAAAGCTCAGAAAAGATGCCTGATTTTTGTTTGATAAGCTCATAAGGTGAGTCAAACTGCACCAAGCGGCCCTGATCCAGGACCATGACACGCTCATTATCAATTATTGTGTTTAAGCGATGGGCAATGGTGAGCACTGTGTTGTTGGCGAATTCATTTCGAATGGTTTGTTGAATCAAACTGTCTGTTCGAGGGTCCACAGCAGCTGTACATTCGTCTTTATAAATTGTGAAAAGTTAATTTCTTTTGTCAATAATAATGTTATTACAAACCTAAGATGAGAATTGGAGAACGCCGCAAGATGGCCCGAGCCAAGCAAATCAATTGTTTTTGCCTGATAAATGTTAATAAGTTTTTACGTTGTAAAAATATAAAAGTATCCGTACCCGACAGAAAAGTCAGAGCCACATTCTGAAACAGAACTATCCAGTTTTGAAGGAAAAGACTGAATTTTTGTTTTAAGTTGTACTTTGTCGATTGCATCCCACAGTTCTTCGTCACTCTTCTCATTAAAAGGGTCTAAATTACGACGAATGGTTCCTGAAAAGAGAATTGGTTCTTGTGGAATGATCGCAAGCCCTCGCCGTAACCTCGATAGACTTATATCAGCAGTGTCAATGTTATCAATGAATATTTGACCAGTCGGTTGAGTCAATCGAAACAAAGTAGTGATCAGTGACGATTTACCTGTTTAGTTGAACAAAGCTGAAAATATGTTCATCAATTACTTTTATGTCACAGCACTTACCAGCTCCGGTTCGGCCAACAATTCCTACTTTTTCACCACCTTTAATGTTGAAGTTTAGGTCTCTTAAAACCAATTGCGGTGGATCATCTCCAGCTCCATCATATGCCAGTGACACATTTTCATAAACAATATTGCCTCGTTGTGGCCAACTTTCATGCGGCTCTTGGATGCATTCTTCAAGTGGTTCTTTTTCTAGTTCACCAAATTCGACGACACGTTCGACGCTAACTAGGTAGTTAGCGTCAACCTCCGATAATTGTCTCACTCCTGCACAAAAGAGTATTGGCTTAAAATTTGGATTTTTTGTTTTAAGTTAGGTTTAGCATACCCCAATTAAACGAGTTTAGCAACAAGTTTGACTGTGAGATAATGAGCCCAATTAAAGATCCAGTAAAGCTATCTAATTGAATATTGATTGCAATAATCAAAATGTAGATAAAGAAGATACAAACGAGCTCGAGAAATATGCCTTAAAAAGAAAAATTCGGTTGAATTAAAAAAACAAAAAATAAAATTTTTAAAAATACCGTAAATTCTACTTGCAGAGATAAAAACGAAAAATATGGCAGTGTGACGATCTTGTGTTGTGCTAAAGCGGTCAATAAACGTCTCTTGAGATCGGTATGAGCGAATAGTTGTCAGTCCGTTTAGTGATGATGCGAGCTGGTTAAAGAGAGGACTCCTAGCCATGCCTTCTAGACGCTTTAGTTTTCTTGCTGTATCTACATAGAATTTTTGAGCAAAGTAAACGATTACCATCACAATGATCAGTGGTAGGACAATGAAGTAGTTCAGTGCAGCGCAAAGAATAAATATTCCAAAACTATTGCCCAAAATTTCCAGTGCTTCAAATCCAGTTGATGGCAGTAGATCATCAATTATTCCAAGATCTCTTGATACTCTACAAAAGAAAATTATTGCATTTGTGTAATAAGAAACAAAAACAGTACCTGTTCATGATTACACCAACTAAAACAAAAAAATATAGTTATTAAAAAACTTGTCAGAAATATAAAACACAATCAATTTTCAGTAAACTGATGCTGACTTGCCTGGAGTTTTATCAAAGAAGATAATGGGAGCTTCCATCAGAGAGGAGAAAATTTTGTTATGCAGTCTATAAGAAGGAGTTAAGGTCAGTATATAAGGACTTGAAATCACGCAAGACCAAAAATTACCTGCGAGATGCTCGCATACAAATTGAAAAAAATGATACAGTACGTACAATTGACATAATAAAGAGTACAGCCACAATAACACTAAATAAAAAAATTAAAATAAGAAAAAAATAAAATTATTTTTACCTGTAAATAATAATATTTGAGTGCATTTCTTTTGCAATCAAGGGGTTGCGTTTTATAGTGTTGTTATTTCTTTCCTGTTCCTGAATATGCAAGTTTTCTTGGTAATCAGTCCACTCAGCCAACCAATAATCTATTCCTGTAAACAGTCCTTGAGTAATAATATTTGATGACAAAAACACCGAAAATAGAAGAATTCCTGCTCCATGAGAAAAGTAAACATAATAAATCCAAAAAGCACTTTTTTTAGGTTTTGAGCTTGTTGATCGTTCACTGTTGGGTAGTTCGAGAGAGGTTGGCTGATTGGAACGCTCTCGACTTTCAGCTGCTTGAACGTAGTCGAGAATGCTCACTTCATCATACATTGATTCGTGGTCACTCTCAATGTAGGAGTTTGACCGACTGTGCCGTTCATTGAAAGACTCAATTCGTCGACGAATCGACTGTCGTCTACTTGATGGACTGCCTTCTGGAGATTTTTCTGTTTGTTGATCTGGTACAACTGTTGCTGTATATCGAAATAAGTCAATGCCTGATGCAAAATAAAGTTAGTTTTTAATTTGCTAAACAAGAGTGAACGCCCACCTTTGTTAAGTAATTCAATGTACGAGCCACAAGCAAAACAGGCACCGTCCTTGAGCACCACAATCTGATCAGCCTGTTTGATGAATTGCAACTGATGGGTGACCAGAATGACGCACTTGTTGCGCAGATACTCCTTAATGCACTTTTCGAAAATGTGCTTAGAAACGGAGGAATCTACTGCAGAAAGGGGATCATCTAAAAGGTAGCAATCGGCGTCAGTGTAAAGGGCTCTAACAATAGTAATAAAATTATTTGTTTTTAAGAGATTTAACTGTTTTTAATCTGTTTTACCTTGCAAGACTTATTCTTGCCCTTTGTCCACCGGAGAGAGAGGTGCCTCGGTCATCGACCATCGTTTGGTCGTTATCTTCAAACAGCTGTAAGTCTTTAGTTAGTGCAGCTACTCTGATCACTTCACGGTAGCGAGCTGAATCAAATTCCCTTCCAAAAAGAATGTTGTCTCTAACAGTGCCCTTAAAAATCCATGCTGTTTGCGAAGCATATATCAGTTTTCCGTTAGTATTCACATATCCACCGCTAACTGGGAGCTCATTGAGTATACTCAGTAGAACGGATGATTTACCAGCTCCCACTGGACCAATGATAACTGTCAGTTTTCCAGGGACAGTTTCAAAAGAGATGTTTTTTAGAATTGATACTTCATTAATGTTTACTGAAACGTTGTGAAGAGTGATTTTGTTGGTTGTTTCTGATTGAGATGATTGTTCCTCTATATTATTTGACACTTGTTTGTGCTCTTCAGCTAGTTCTAGTTCAAGTAAAAATTTCTATAGAATAAAAGATGATTATAAACAAGTGATCACTTCTTTGTCTAAAGCTACCTCAATTCGTTTCAGTGAAATGTAAGTGTCAGATGAATAGACTACTGCTTGAGGTAACTGATATGTCATTACGTCCCTGATTTGGTTTATCAGAGCCAAACTCACAAAAACTACTTCGGCAGTCAGTTTGCCATCATCTAAAATGTAGAGAAGAATGCACACAAAAGCTATCACTTTTGATGACACAAAAAAAAGTGCCAAATTTAAACATCGAAGCATCATCGAGTGACGTATTTTGGTTATTTCTAGTTTTCTAGCAACGTGAACCAATTTTGCAAAACTTTTTTCCCAGCAGTACATCTAAATGAAAAATTTCGGCATTTAGACAACAATTATATAAAAAAATGTTTACTTTAATAACTCTCATTGCTGGCAGAATTTCTGTCATCAGTCGCAAACGATCATCAGTTAAGCCAATGGACATTGAACGGAATCGACTGAGAACGTTTGCCATTCCCGTTTGAAAGGGAATATAAAGCAGAACGATTGCAAGTGCTCCAAATGAGGCTCTATAAAATGTAAACGAATGTCACAGAGTCATTTCAAAAATACTTTTACATACCTGTCAATGTAATAATAAAGAAAAACCATTGCAACTGGAGTTTCCAAAAGAGACATATACAAAAATTCTGAGTATATAAAAACACTGTCAAAACGAGCGGCATCATTTGCTACCAAATTGGTGATTCGACCCACAGTAGTTTTCTCAACGGTATTTGTTGTAATTTTCAAAGATTTTTCATAAATCAAACGAGAAAGTGCTATACGAATTCGCATTCCCAACCGCCATTTGAGCATAAAGTATGGATGCGAAACAAGAATGTTGATCAAAACTAGTGCTCCGAGCAGTACCGAAAAGAAAACTACAAATTGACGGTTATTTAGTTCAAGTAAGCTTTCAATAAAATTTTGTTTTAGAGCAATTGGTGGCTGAACGGTTGTCACTGTACTGTTGCTGATTTTGTCAGCAGTTTCTTCATAATATAAATTTGAATAATGAATTATTCTCCCTATTAAAAGTGGCATAACCATCCTAATAAAAAACAGTTATTCACTGAGTAAAATAAGTGTAAAATAAAAAATCACCGAAAAACGCCTAAAAAATGAACAAAAGTTAAATTGTGCTAAAAATTACAAAAAAAATCTTAACCATAAACCATGAAGTTCCAGAAGTTCATATGTAAGTAAGTCCATCCGAATGTTTTAAATAGAGCTCGAAGAATACTCGCTGATTTTCCCAATCTCTGACGTGCAACTTCATTTTTCCAATTTCTGCAAATAATTATTCAATCAGTCGTTTGATGGCTGCACATTTAAAAAAATACTTTTTCAACTGTCCACCTAGCAATTGACAATTGTGACTTTTAGAATTTTCTTCAATTGCATTCAGATCAAAATCTTGTTTGTAGTACCGATAGAGAAAGGGAAAAACGTACCTAAAAAATAATTTTTAATAATACCGAATTATTAAGTTTATGATATTTACAAACAAAAAAGACGACTGATGTAACCGGCACTATCATATTTGCTAGAAGGAAATTGTGGTTGATTTTTTTCTTTGTGTACTGATTTTTCACCTTCCAATATCTCAGAATGACCTTTTTCTTGCATCATAGTTCAGTGATAACATAATATAAGCATTTTAAAAATAATAGAGTAATTAATAGTAATGAAGCACTAACATACACTAAATGAGACTATTTAAAGTAATTGACACTGGTAGTCATGGGTTTTTGCAATTACCCACAATTAACTAAAAGAGCGTTGGTTTCTGTTTTGTGCCACAAGTAATTGGCTAGAACAAACCAGTAAAAAGTTAATTAAATATAAAACAAGTACTTTTATAAAAAGGGCAATGGAAAAATTTTTAGTGTAATAAAAGATTTTTTGCTAGAGTTACTGCCATTTTATGATAATGATAAGTTGCAAAGTTCATCAAAGGTAGGCACAATAAAACTACAATTTTAAACTTGCTTAATTTTACATTTTTTTATTAGCTTCTTCTTATATTTAACTCTTTAAATCAATGATAAATTAAATTTAAATATTTTAAATAAATTATACCATTTAACATTTTTTAACGAATAAAAATTTAAATTGTTTTAATTTTAATTTTTAAAAGTGTACAATACGTAAAATAGTAAAATGGCTACAATTGAGTCTGTTGTTTCTCAGCATAAGCTTTCAACGCCATTCGTTTTAATTCCACTTTAGTATCAGGGTTGAGACTGCTGTAGAGTTCATAGAAGATACCCGATCTTTGTTTGATAAGTTCATAAGGAGAGTCAAATTGCACCAGACGGCCCTGGTCGAGAACCATAATACGATCATAATCAATGATGGTTATCAACCTGAAAAAGACAAACTGTACACACATCTCATTTGTACACTGTTGACACAAACCTGTGGGCTATGGTTAGCACAGTGTTGCTGGCAAATTCATTTCGAATTGCTTGCTGAATCAAACTGTCCGTTCGAGGATCACAATTTGCTGTACATTCATCTTTAAAAATCAAGCAAAATTATTTTCTTCGGTCAATCAGTATGTTTTTTCAAACCTAGGATAAGAATTGGAGAACGCCGCAAAATGGCTCGAGCCAAACATATAAGTTGCTTTTGTCTATTATAAACATTATGAGTTTTTCTACTGTAAAAATATAAAAGCATACATACCCAACTGAAAAATCAGAACCACAATCTGAAACTGAACTATCCAGTTTAGAAGGGAAAGACAGAATTTTATTTTTCAGTTGTACTTTGTCAATTGCATCCCACAGTTCTTCGTCACTTTTTTCATTAAAAGGGTCTAAATTACGTCGAATAGTCCCTGAAAAAAGAATTGGTTCTTGTGGAATAATTGCCAGTCCTTTCCTCAGTCTTGAAAGACTAGTGTCAGATGTGTCAATGTTATCAATGAGTATTTGACCAGTTGGTTGAGTCAGTCGAAACAAAGTAGTGATCAATGACGATTTTCCTGTTTTTTTGAAGATTTAATATACATGTTTTTTAATTATTACCAATTCAATGCATTTACCGGCTCCTGTCCTGCCAACGATTCCGATCTTCTCGCCGCCTCTAATATGAAAACTCAAGTTATTGAGAACTTTTTTAGGCGGCTCATCAATATCGTCTAAATTAGCAGCTGTGTTGAACACCAACGATACATTTTTGTACACAATTTCTCCTCGCCACGGCCATTTTGTGTCCGGTTCTTGTTTGCATTTATCGAGTTCTTCTTTGTCTAGCTCGCCAAACTCGACAATACGATTTACGCTTACTATCAAACTATCAAGCTCAGCTCCCTGACGTACGCCCTAAATGAACGAAAGCATAACCGTTAATCAGAATTCCTTTTGAACATTTTTACAACTAATCTTTACCCAGTTGAATGTGTTACAAATGGCCAACACTTGAGATATAGAGAGCCCAATTACAGAGCCCGTGTAAGAGTCTAAGTTGATGTTGATTACTATGATCAGGGAAGTTATGTAGAGAACGCAAAGAATCTCTAGGAAAATGCCGTACAGTCTGCTTGCAGAAATAAATGCGAAATAAGTCGCTGTATGAACATCCTGAGTGTCATTGAACCGTTCAATAAATAGTTTTTGCATTCGATAAGAGCGAATAGTTGGCAAACCAGTAAGTGAACAAGCAAGTTGATTGAAAAGAGGACTTCGAGCAACGGCCTCTAAACGTTTCAGTTTACGGGCAGTATTCACGTAGAATCGTGAGGCCAAGTAAATGAGAATCATTAGCACTACAAATGGCATTACGACAAACCAGTTCAGTATGCTGCAGAGGATGAATATTGCTAGACTGTTGCCTAAAATTTCCAACGCCTCAAATGCTATCGGTGGAATAAGGTCATCAATTATGCCTAGATCTCTTGAAATTCTGCAAAAACAGCTCATTATTTTAATGCAAATTACGAATCAACACAACACCTGTTCATGATAACGCCAACTGTTAATAAAATGATTGTTTAGTGTTTTGACAGTTAGTTTTAGTAAAATACCTGGTGTTTTGTCAAAAAACACTATGGGTGCTTGAATTAAAGATGAGAAAATTTTGTTATGAAGATTAACCTTCAAAAACATTTTTAAAGTTAAAATTAAAAATTAAAATAAAGATGTAGTTTTTTACCGAAGCACGCATTGCAATCACAAAGAAGCTAGTCTACAGGAAGTATTTATATTTAGTTATATTATCAAATAAAATGGTATTTTAAATAGCGTACCGTGCGTACGATTGACATAACAAAAAGAAGTCCAACAATACAGCTAAAGAAGATGAAAAATACATTAGAAAACAATAAAATTATTAAAATCACATTACCTATAAATAATAATGTTGTAGTGTCGTTCTTCTGCTATAATTGGGCTTCGTTCAAAGGCAACGTTTGTTTCTCGTTCAATTTGCAATTTTTCTTCGTGATCAGTCCACAGCGAAAGCCAATAGTCAGATAGAGTGAAAAGTCCTTGAGTAATAACATTTGATAACATAAACACCAAAAATAAAAGAATTCCTGCACCAGCACTTATGTAGATTTTGTATATTTTTAGTTTGTTTTTACTGCCACTTTCATTTGACTCCATATTCTGAGGCAGTTTTTTTGCTTCATCAAGATTAGCACCGTCGGGAGTGGTCAGGTACTCCAGAATACTGACTTGATCGTGAACTGACACACCGTCATGTTCACTTTCAATAAAAGAGTTTGTGCGACTCGTTCTAAAAATATCAGAATTGAACGAATCAACACGGAATCGAAGAAGTGCAGGATTTTTTAGTATTGGTGGACTTGAAGGTGCATCAGGGTACTGAGACAATGTTTCAGGTTTCTCTTGCTCAGCAATTGAGTACTTAAAAACGTCAATGCCCTGATTGAGAAGATCTGTGTAAGAGCCACAGGCAAAACAGCCACCATCTTTGAGCACAACAATCTGATCAGCCTGTTTGATAAACTGCAACTGATGGGTGACCAGAATGACGCATTTGTTGTGCAAATATTCTTTGATGCACTTCTCAAAGATGTGCTTAGAGACGGACGAATCAACTGCAGAAAGGGGATCATCCAAAAGGTAACAATCGGCGTCTGTGTAGAGGGCTCTAAAAAAGTAATAACATTTTATGGTTTTGAGAGTTTAAACTGTGTTTAATCTGTTTACCTTGCAAGACTGATTCTGGCTCGTTGACCTCCGGATAGGCTGGTGCCTCGGTCATCGACCATCGTTTGGTCGCTATTTTCAAATTGCTGAAAATCTTTTGTCAGAGCAGCCATTTTTACCACTTCACGGTACCGGGTTGAATCATATTCTTTTCCAAAAAGAATATTTTCTTGAAGTAAATTTAAATAAGTATTTAATCATGTACAAATTGTTAAAATTTATACCTTTTACAGTCCCATTGAAGATCCACGATTCCTGACTTGCGTAGACAGCATTCCCCGTCACATCAATTGAGCCAAAGTTTAGAGGGAGCTCATTAAGAATACTTAGCAAAATAGATGATTTTCCAGAACCCACTGCTCCGATAATGACAGTTAACTTGCCAGAAACAGACTCAAAAGAAATGTTTTGCAAAATGGGAATTCCTTCATCTGAAGTTACTGTTACATTTTTAAGGCTTATACATGGATTTTTGCAGTTTCGGTCTACTTCTGATGATGACAGTGATTTACATTTTTCAGTGACTTCGGTTTCTAAAAGAAATTTCTACAACAAAAATTTAAATTTGAATATTTAAAATTAACTTTCAAACCTGAATTCGTTGAATAGAGATATAGCTCTCAACTGAATAGCTTATACCAAGAGGAAACATGTACGTTATAACATCGCTATTAAAAAGATAATTAATTTATATAATTATAAATATTGATTGATGAGACAAACTTACCGTATCTGCGCAACCAGGGCCATTGTGACAAAAACATTTTCAGCTGATAATTTAGCGTTTTTGTCAAAGAGGAGGTAGAGTAGAATGCACGAAAACGCCATCACTTTAGGTGCAACAAAATATAGTGCTAAATTAATTGACCTTAAAATCATTGAGTGCCGGATTTTAGTAATCTCCAATTTCCGAGCAACATGCACTAGCTTTGCAAAACTTTTTTCCCAGCAGTACATCTGTGTGGAAAAACAAACTTTAAAAATACATCGTTGCTAAATTATAACATTAAGGTATTACCTTGATTACTCTCATTGCCGGAAGTATTTCAGCCATAAGTCGTAACCGATTGTCGGTTAAAATGATTGATTTAGAGCGAAACTTGCTGAGAATATTTGCCATAATTGTTTGAACTACAAGATATTTTAGTTAAAAACATTAATAATAAAAATCAACAACTTACAGGGTATATACACAAGTACGATAGCTAATGTTCCAAATGAAGACAATCCAATGTACTGGTACATGAAGTATATGCCTTCAAATATGAAAAGTTAAAGCGGTTTAGTGATGAAAAAGACACTGACATACCGACAGTTGTCTCTAGCAGAGCACAGTAAACAAAACCGACGTAAATGTAGGCTATGTCAAATCGATTTGCGTCATTGCTCACTAAATTAACAATTTTTCCAATGGTGTTCCGTTGCACTGAATTTGTTGACACTCGCATTGCTTTTTCAAAAATCAATCGAGATACAGCAACTCTTATATGCATTCCTTAATCAAAAAGAAAGATTTAATAAAAAAATTAAAGCTTGATAAACTTACCATAGCGAAACTGTCGAAAAAAGTAGGGGTGTGATATGCAGACGTTCACCAGAATGACCAGAGCTAATAGACCAGAGTAGGCGATAACACTTTGCCGAGTGCTTAAGATTATATTCAGCCAAACGAAGAGATCAAATTGTCCGTTTTCGTCTGTCGTTATTGATTGATTAAAGTTGTGCAATTGAATAAAATGAATACTATTGTTTTCACTTTTGCCAATTAACGTATTGTTGACTGTTTCCTTGAAGTATTTATTTGAGTATAAGATGATCTTGCCTAAAATCATAGGCATAATCATGCTATTGGAAATTTATATTGTTAACAGTTTAAAATGTTTGTTTTTATCAATTTAAAAAGACTTACCGGAGTACACCGTACACTATAAAGTTATAAACGTTTGTTAGAAGAAAAAGAGGACCAAAGCTCCATAAGATGGCTCGCGTAAGGCTGGCATTTTTGCCAGCTTTCTTTCGTTCCAATTCTTCGTTCCAGTGCCTGAAAAAAGGATTCAAGATAAAACATAAATCTTACACAAGTCAATCAATTGGCAATTACCTGCGCAATTTATTGCCAAGGCGTTCGCAAGCATCTTCTTTTGCGACAACGTCGATTGCATCGAGATAAATATCTTTGTTGTAGTTTCGATAAAGAAACGAAAAAATGTACCTATCAAAAAATACAATTTTATTTGGTTTTTTACTCTACTGTATATCTTTACCAGCAATAAAGACGACTAAAAATGTTAGCTTTGTCGTAACTGCTTTTTGAAGAATTTTTCAACTCATCATCCGAATGATGACTTTTAAATGATGCTGAGTTCTTAGTTTTCTTCACTATGTTAGTAGCTGTCATGTTGACGCTGGTGTGAATTACGGTACACAGCTGGTTTAATCTGGAAAAATGCAGCAACTGGTGGCTAAGGCAGACAAATACCAAACAAAAAAGTTTCAGCTGACTGTGAATTTACCCATTGTATTAACACAGTATGTTGATGTTTCTCAGCTACATTATATACTCAGATCATTTAAGTGTTAGGCAATCCACAACGACCACCTGGCAAAGAGTCAGCCAAGGCGCGACCAGTGTGAGTGGGTCTTTACAGTCGATCACAGTGGACGCGGGGCCGAGCCACACTCTTAAAAGATGTGCTGTCTTATGTGTCTCTGATGCTGCTAACACGGCAGGGAGAAGGCGTTGAGACAAGGAAACGCCGAGCTAAAGTGACAGCACATGGGGACACATAGGCAACTCCTGACTAAGACAAAGCGTGTGCCTGGTGGCATGACAGCAACGAATTTACACAACTTGACACACGTCGTCGCCAGAGAGCTCACTGACCAATTTCAGGCAATAAAACGATTAGCATCGGTAGGGCAGCTAGTGCATTGCTCACTATCGCCCTTCATGCTAATTAGGGTTACCTTTTACTAAATACCCACTATTATCACCGTTAGTAGTAGAGAGAGGGGACCTCATCAAGCAACAAGCGACAATAACCTGTGATGAGGAAGGTGTCACAAATTGAGAGAAAGAACCTCCTGCTTCTGCAATTGACAGTGTGAAACAGTTTTTGTTGAAAGGATAGAAGTACTTTCCTCTAGAGTAATAATACAATTTTCTTTCAACTTTTGCCCGTTTTCTCAAGTGTTTGACAATCCAACAGATAACTTTAAAAAAACAATAAAAAACACACAGATAGAAATTATTCTGAAAAGGCGATTGTCGTAAAGACAGTAAAATATTTATTGGCTAATTAAAAAAACATTTTTTTCAATTTAAAAGCATAAATAAAAACATTTAAAATGAGTTTGCTGAAAAGTACTCAAAAGGTTATACGTCAACGAATAAGGCAAATCGGTCAGTTGTCAATGTATTTTGTAGAGAATTAATAACTTTATGTAGATTTATCACTTGCATGAGATTATTTGTATAAACTTTTGATGACTTACTAATTTATGAGGTAAATACGTGTTTTCAATTTTATGCTGGCGATCAGTGGACAGTTTTATTGGAGTTTAAGGGTGCAATAAAAGGGAAAAAACTGGGTTTGGTGCCAGTTAGATTCGGATTTGCCCTTGTTTGCTTTTCGGTCTTGGATTACAAGTGCGTGTAGTTTTGGTCTTGTCAAGGAGTACTACATTCACTGTAAATGAGTTTTCCCGTTATGATGTCCAACTCGTGTCCATAGTTTTTTGGTGATCTAGATATTTCAAGTTGACAAGACTATATTATGGTTATGCCAAGGTTGTTAGTAAAAATTATTAAATTCTACTTACATGTTTATTAGACTTAAAACTTGTGACAAGCTAAAGATGTAGTAAAAAAATAGGTTACAAAAACGCATTTATGAAAAAGCACCATTTTCAATTTACAAATACTTTTAATTACTAAAGAGAAAAAATATTATTCATTTGACTTTAAACTTGTTTTTGACGGTTGTGCCAATGAGTCATTTGATTCTTGCAGTATCACATGTTGTTTTGGTTCGTGTCCAAAAGTAAAAAGCTTGATTATTTGTCTGCGCGCCAGAATTTGCGTAATCTCGTACATTTCCCGATCAGAAGTACTAATCAAAGTGAATGGGTCGGTACCTAGTTTGTATTTCCAAAAGGTGAAAAAGGAAATTATCAAGCCGATTATACCGTCTGATAACACTAAAAATAATGTGGTTTTTAAAATAAATGAAAGGTAATAGAGAGCACACTCACCGATTAAGTTGATAAACATGTGGTCACGTGCCAGGTCAAAAGCAAAACTTGCCAAGATTGACAAAATTAGTGAAGAGATGAGAAGAAGGATCGCCTCAAAGAGAAACCAGGCAAAGTCGTGATACCGGATGACAAAGTGGCAACTGTAGATTATGAAGATGACTAGATAAATTGGCAGACAGAGGAACATTGAGAAAATGTAGGCTTTCTTGAAAAGGCAGTTCTGGAACCTTTCAGTATTTGAATCGCCAACACTACTCTCCAAAGGTTGCAAATCTCGTCTCGGTTCAGTGACACTATTATAAAAGCCTTCGCTGTACTTTGTGTCATTATTAGAAACTACTGACACGTTTTCTCTGTTGAGATGAGCTTGAAGAGGGACACTGGTCTGGCCAAAGGTAAACAGGCTCATCTTGAAGCATGGATCAAGGAGGGTACATAGAAAAATGCTGCAGGCCAAGGTGAACACAATGTACAGCTTCAGAATGTGACAAGTGCCGCAGTTGTACTTCTCAACGTGCTTCTCCACGAGTGGCATTGGCTGTGAGTTGGATATGGGCACTTGATCAGGGATGATTCGGCGAAGCATCGACTTGAAGCGCGTTCCACTGTAGACCTTTTCGTCGTTGCCCAGCAGACGAGCATTGAACAGCTTACGAGCCCGCCATTCAGAACGATTGCCGCACTCTTCGGTGGGGCGGTCGTCGCTCAAGTCGATCTGTGGCTCTTGATGCTCGTCAGTCCAATCGCCAGCACCGTCACTACTTTCCGATGTCAGATCGGCTATTAGGTGCTCCAGATGAGCAGCAACGTTGTAGCCATCAGCGTCTTCCTCTACTGACGGTGGATCGTCCAACGTGTCGCTTGTAACCGAACAAGTAGACTTGACTGAACAGGACGAAGTACTGCTGCTGACGTCGTTGTGTTGGTTATTTGGATGTTCCGAAGAAGGCAGTTTAGTGGCTTCCTCGCCAAGAGGGGCAATCTGGTAATACAAATTCATTCAGTTTCTCAATCATTAAAAGTTTTTT